GATGGTCCGTGGCCTCCTTGTTCTCCTCGGCCCCTATATCCTCCTCGGGCACGTCCATGGCAACGTCATGCTCAACGAGCAAGGTGGTGTTCATGCCGGTACTCCTCCAAGCTCCTGAACCAAGCAACTGCCTGAGCCTCCCTGTCAACAACCTCCTTCTTTAGCTGCTCCCGCTAGGCCTTCAATTCGGAGATGTGCCTCTTTAGATTGCGGTTGGCCTCTGTCCGCTCCTCAATATCACGCTTCAGCTCGGCCACCTCAACCTCTAGTGCGACCATCCGCTCGCTTGCCACCTCTAGCTCAGCCAGCTGAGCCCTCAACTGCAAGACTTTGGAATACTCGCTTCATAAGCACGCCGAAATGACCGAAGATAGTCAACCATTGCAATCGTCGAACAAGTACTCTACACAAAAAAAAAGAAGAAGAAGGGGAGTTATCAACACAACCAACTTCAATTGAACAAGGAGACCAAGGGTGAACACAAACTAACCGATGCAACCTGACGGATGAGCGAGCTCTCCAGGATTACACTTTCAGACTCCGCGGCCTCCCGCTTCATGGCTTGAGTCAGAATACCACGGAGGAGTTGCTCGGGCACACCCTTCGTCTCAAGCCCATCCTCAACACGAACCATCCACTGCGGCATGTGGAGAGGTGGAACACTGCTCTCTAGTGCGCTCATCCGTGGGAAAGGGGGAATAGACCAGGTGCCTTCTTCCAAGTCGACCACCACAACATCTTCTTTGGACTGTTGCCTAACTCTGTGGTTCTACCAAGGAGACCTCTTAATAGTCCTCAATGGCACCAACTCGGATTGGGTCTGTGCCCTTTAAGGAGCACCTCAACCACGTCTCTTGTGCCTAACTATCATCCTGCGAAGGACCTCTTCCTTGTTCTCCATCTCGACACCTGCACCAAAAGTGAGAACTTAGTCAAGACAAGTTATAAGCTCGGAAAAGAGAAGACCAACAAGTGAATAGAAGCGACAAAACAGACTGTCCTCCTCATGCATTAGCCTGGCATGGATCAACATCGAGATGGACATTTACTACATTACGTTGATCTCTTCAATCATGTTTATGGCCACCCTCTCCTCCCCGGTAAGGCGGGACCACTTGGGCTATGTCACCTTAGTCCTTGGCTCCTGGAGCGTGGCTAGAAGGGGCGAACCCCCAGGGTAGCGTACAAAGAAGAACCCCTCCTTCCAGTGCTTCACTGAGGACGGAGCTCAGACCAAAACCTTGATGCGCTGCTTGGCCGAGAAATAGTAGTAGCCCTGCTGGTGATACTTCAGTGAAGGAAATAGCTCATGATCCGCAGGGTAAGCTCGACATAATGGACAAAGCAATATGACATAAGGCCGGTCAGAAACCTAAAAGAGTTAGGCATCAGCTACACTGGTAGTATCCGATCAGAAACCTATAGGACGGGGCTCCGTCCTTCCACCTCGGCTCCGCCCAGTTGGCAGGGACTATCTGACTGTGACCTCGGTTCTTGCACTACCTCGGTTCGAGTAATATCAGGTCCCAACCATAGATGGTGGAATGCCGAAACCAAACTCAAATCATGATCAAACATACATCAGAGTTAGTGACTTGTTGGACTCCAATGGCAACTAAAACTTAGCTTCATTACATCAGTATTTGAATCAGTCTTCTATCCCTCATGTATTATCACTTGTGCCAAATAGTGAGCTTCAAATAGACACACCAATATGGAAGCTGACAAGTACAGGGAAGTACTCTGTGTGAGTTCAGGATATCATCTCCTCTATACAGAAATAATTAAGTACATCATCTACTTCCTTTAATTGGAAACAGTTGTGGAAGCTGAAAATCCCTTACCATTTTCAGTTATTTATATGGAAAATACTATGGGATGGGCTCAAAACCAAAGCCAAAAGCCGGCACTGGCTATCTCAATCAGATCTACTCTGTGTTTTCTGTTTAGTACATACAGAAACTTTCCACCATCTTTTTTTCCCGTTGTCATTTCTCCAAAGCCACATGGTGTGCTGCACAAGTGGGTAGAAATCCAGAGAAGATAGCTTCTCAAACGGTTCACAAAATCCTACTGATGGATTGGTATCGAAATCTCTGTAACTCCCACTCCAAGACAGAGAGGCTTCACACCTTTTTGGGCGGGGCTGTATTCTGTTCTATGTCATATGGGAATCAAGAAACAAAAAAACTTTTCGAAAATATTTGCTTTACTCCCCTGGAATTTATTGCAAAATGGAACACTTACTACAGTCATCCTCTCCAATCTACAACTGCAGCTCTTCCTGAAATCACTCGCAATAACAGTCCTCCTACTGAAGTAGCCTTGTTACATATTGATGGTTCATATGACCCTTTGACAGGAAACTCAGGATGCTCTTTCATCCTCCAAGGAGCACAAGGGAATCAAATCATCAGTAAAGGAACCCCTTGCTGGTCCATCAATCCGTATGATGCTAAACTAAGAGCCTTAGTGACTGGACTTCAGGCAGCTTCACGCCAAGCAATAGACGGAGTATCAGTTTATAGTGATTCTGAGCAGCTCATATCTTTTCTGCAAAATGGAATCTCATATCTGGTCTAGAACATGGATAGAACGTCTTCACCAGGCCCAGACCAGAAAGCTACTGATCTCCTTCTCCGAATTTAAGTTATTTTGTTTCATGTTAACATAGCACAAATCCCAAATTATGTGGTGGGTAAAACCCTATTGCCAAAGAAGACAATCAATGAGATGCAGAAGTTACAAAGATCATTCTGGTGGAAGGGTGGTACAAAGAAACATGGACGACAATAAAGTATTGTTTAGCAAGCAAGTTTGGAGATTATTCTCACAACCTGAAGCATTGTGGACAAGGATAATTAAAGAAAGATACCTGACGTCAGGCTCAATCTTTAATTCGCTCAAAGGGCAAGTTCATCTCATTCTGGTTGGTGGAAACAAATGTTGGCAGTGGCTAAAGAGTTAAAAACTGATTTTATATGGCAAGTGAAAGATGGTAATCAAATTTTCTTGATGGGTGATCCCTGTGTGCCATCCCTTCATGATGGGTTCCCAAGAATAAAAGAAGATAAAATTCAGGAAGCAAGACGGATGAAGGTCAAAGATCTACTACTAAACGATGCCACATGGAACCTACAACAATTGAAACTTCATGTGCTAGAACAGGATGTTCATGACATTCTTAGAAGAAAGCCATCGATGGAGAGAGTTGGGGATTCACTTCTTTGGAAATACTCAAATTCATATATGTAAACTGTCAAGTCAGCTTATAAAAGCTTTATCAAACATCAACCTGGTCCATCATCACACCGAATTCAATGGCATAAGATATGGAGACTGCAAATTCCATATCGATATCATCTTTTCCTCATGGAAAGCTTAATGGGGTGGCTTATTAACAAAGACAGGCTTTATTTTTTGATTGAGGAAGATAAATTGTGCAGTCTATATGGCTGGAGATGCAACTTGGCTTAATCACAATAAGTGTGTGCAAGATTTTCTGCTAAATGAATTAATGGAGATGTGGCAACAACAAACGCTTTTAGCAATTCCAAGGCCTCGCAAGCAGGAACTATAATGGCTAAGGCTGCCATAGCCATCCAATTGATTTGGAAGGCTCGAAACAAGAAGCTCCATGAGAATAAAATCTCAAATCCTCTAGCTATTGCACAAGCAGTACAAAATTACTTGGTTCATAGTGAAATGAACCAACTTGAAAACCAGAGGGGCAACAAAATCATCAACTCTTGACTGTGCTTTATCAACATGCTTGTACGTGGATGGTTCATTTCATATATGTTGAATATACAAAGAGCTGCCAAAAGTTTTGTCATAATGAGAGATGGTTGCAGGGTGATTGAAGCAGCAGGAAGTAGCTGAATGGCAAGCACTTGTCCTAGGATTGCAACAAGGACAATGCAGGAGAATCAGCTAACTAAATGTGTTATGTGATGCCAAAAGAATTCATATAACACAAATTGCACATGAAAAGAGAAGTTGTACAAGACTGAGGTGCAGAACTTGAGGATGCAAATAGATTAGCCCATAAAATAGCTTATGAAGTATGTAAGGGGGTATGGATAGGAGCTTCCAACAATCTGAAAATGGGATGGATGTAAATCTTTTTGAGAAATTAATATAATTTTTCTTTTTTGGCCAAAAAATAAACTCTGTAGAGACTCCCATGTACATATTCTTGGCATTAAGTAAAAAAAGTTACTATTTTTTGCTGAAAAAAAATAAAAAATAAAATTTGCACGGGAAACAAACTGTGAGTTGAAAGTGCGATAAGTCAGAACTCACAGCGTTCTTATCTTTACTATTCTGTGAATTGTGGAACGGGATCTGCTCCTGACACAGGAGCGCCTCACATGCACATCCACCGTGCATTGGGAACATCTCCCGTAAATAATAATCTTTTAAAGTACGGGAGATGTTCCCAATGTATGGTACGATGTGCGTGTGAGGCGCCCTGTGTGAGGAGCAGATCCGGTCTCGTGAATTGTCCACTTTTAATAAAGATAACTAGATAAGCAGATAACTAATCCGAGTCTCGTACACACAAAAACCCTACAAACACCTGTCGGACAACACAGCACAGCCGCCGCACATGTAGGGTCCTTGTGGGTAGAAGATCCGAACGCAGATAAGAGTCTGGAGGCTCTGGAACTGGATTGGACAGTACAAAAGCAGGAGCGAGTAGAGGAGATACAAAAATAGAAAAAGCGAATAAAAAAATATCTGGCTAAGACGTCCACGTGGACACTTGGACATGAGTGCTCTGGAAGGAAGCAGATATTTGCACTTTTTCTCTGCTTTCCGACCATAAACAAAAACGAATTTACATCTACCCCCACAGAACGCCCCCAAAAACGTTTCACAGAACATCCCAACCGTGTATTGGGAACATCTGTTCTCAATGCACGCTGAGATGTGCATGTGGGGGCGTTTTTGGGCGCGTTCCATTTTTTTATTTCATTTAATCCATTTTGCAAATCGCTGCTTGCGAAATATCTTCCATTACCATTACCGCTACCGGTGGGAACTGGGAACCAGAAACGAGACGACACCGACTCACAATCTTCTTCGTATTCTTTCTCTCTCTCCCTCCTTACTCGTTGTTTGTCTGTTCTTTTTCCTCCTCGTATCCATTCAAAAAACCTCAACTTTGTTTCAAGTCAATAAGACTGTTTTAGATGAAAATACTGAAGTCTTTATTTCCTCTCATGGGTTCCTGGGTTCTGAAAACCCTAATAATTTCTTCTTTTTTCACAAACTCATATTTCGGTTGACTTCTCAACATGCCCTTAGTTCTATTTCTACCTAGAATTAGAGCAACGAAGACAAAAGAAGAGAAATGGGTGAAGAGGTACAGACAAGGCAGTATGGAGGTGGTCTTAGCTGTGGAGAAGAGGCAAGAGTGCTCGAGTGGGAAGTCGGCCTGCCCACCACCGATGATCTCACCCCCTTGTCTCAGCGTTTGATCCCTATGGAGCTCGCTTCCGCTTTCAGTATAACCCCCGAGCCTCGTCGAAACGTGTTCGATGTCAATCGTGCCTCGCACAACACCCTATCCAGCATCTCTCGCCAGTCCTCGCAGTCTTTCCCTTCCAATCACCTCAAGTCCTTACCTTCCTTTTCCGAGGATAGGACCCGCGATGCCATGGTCATTGAAGGGGATGACAACGATGCCGGATTTTCCGCCAAGGATATCTCCGATTCGCGCAAGGTACGAAGACCTGAGAGCCCCGAAGAGGCAGATTCGGCCTTGAGAACGGAGAATTCTATGGATGATCACTCTGCCCGCACCTTGAAGAGGCCACGCTTGGTGTGGACTCCTCAGCTCCACAAGCGATTTGTAGATGTCGTCGCGCATCTGGGTATCAAGAACGCCGTGCCCAAGACCATCATGCAATTGATGAACGTGGAGGGTCTGACGCGGGAGAACGTCGCCAGCCACCTCCAGAAGTATCGTCTCTACCTCAAGAGGATGCCGGGCCTGTCAAATGACGAGGGCCCATCCTCTTCCGACTATCTTTTTGCATTGACCCCTGTGCCTCAGAGCTTGCACGAGCCCTCTCCCCACGGCCACGGGCACATGCCACTTCCGATCCCTTATCCACCACCCATGATGCCCATTCCGGTCCTTGGCGTGACCCATGCTCACGGCCATATGGGGATACCTGTCGGACATCCGGCTTCTACCGCATATCACGGTTTCGAGTCACATCCCTATAACATGTTCAGGGAGAAGCCGTGAAGAATGGTCTGGTAATAACTTGGCTTGTATTTTATCCTATTCACATGTCACTCAAGATGATAAATAAAAAATCTCAGATTTTTCATCTCACCTGAGAGGCAAGTCTCTCGTCTTCCTTCAATTTTTACTACTTTTACTGTTTCTTTCTAATTTTCTAGTATTCTTTGTAGTTACTCGCAATTATCAGATAATAATACGAAATTGATAGTGGTTGGAAGAAGTCAAAACTATAGATTTGGTTTCTTTAAGAAAATGTTGCCTCTCCTAAATGTTGAATTCTATCTAGTTTTTCTTTTTCGACAAACTGAGAAATGCGTGTCTAGGACTGAATGGAGCAAGGATTAGCCCAAGTAAAACAAACTCTTAGACAAGTATCTGTGGGTACGCTGATGGACAGGAACCTTACAAACGTTTCTTTTTTATGAAATGGTTTGTTTTTTATGCTCAGGTAATACTTGTGTGTCATTGGACAGAAGACAGCAACATTCAAATTTATTCCTAAAATCTCTTCCTTTGCTGCAGAAAAATGTTTCATGATTTTGGCAACTGATTCTTCTTTAACATCTCGGTACCCATGCTTCTGCCTAGGGGTACAAATATTTTTTTGGGGGGAATGGATGCATTAGAGTTGCCTAGTTGGCTCAAACTCTCCTGACAGGGTTCAACTTATGTTAATTCAGACCAAGGTTAAATTTGGGTTGATTCTTAGGCTGAATGGGGTTAGTGGGTTGGATTTTCTACCTTAGGAATTAGTTTGTCCTGGCTCACCTTGAACAAACTTTGACCTGGGTTGCATCCCTCCAGCTTTGAGCTTTCTTGGTCCTGCATTTGTGAAATTGAGGCATGTGGGTCTGTCCCAAACCATGATATAGTAGACAAGACTAGGCTCCTTTATAATCCATCTGGCAGGAGCTTTTCTTCCTCACTCAAAGGAACCTAATGATCAATTGTTTATACAAGAAAATCTTATTTGAGGCAAGTCAATTGCTCATTCTTTGCTGTGTGTGTATTTTCTGCAATGGTTGTAACTCATTTTTGATCCCAGGCTTTCTGTTAGAAACTACTAGTAGTTATTTTGATCAATATAATGGCAACTGAAGTTCACTTGAAGCTGATATAAGTTGGTTGACAGAGCTTCATACTTCTGAAGACTTTGGTCCACCTTTTACCTCCCATCATCATCATCCTTCCTGCAGTGTCACCAGGAATAGTTAGTGAAATCTATGTTTTTGAAATTATGCTGACTATCCAATTTTCATCAAATTGAATTTTCCAAATTAGAAAGTTTTAGACAGCTGGAATTTTTGGGGCTTTTTGAATGTACAAGATGGTTCAATTGGCAAAACAAGTTGATACTGTACAGGATAAAGAATATCATATGTGGAATTTAGACGAAAATGCAGGATGTTTACTGTCTAGATTTTATAGCCTTCTTTCCTTGTTTATTGAATGCCATTAGACAATTCCATGAATTTCATATCGTGGATTTGATTTTTCTGATAACAAGGAGAAACAAATAATTCCCATCCATTTTCACTTGATTGTTGCAATAAATATTCTTGCCATCTTCTAATTTGTGATAGCCTTGTCTTTCTGTATATCCTTCCATGCCTACATGGCCAAGAAAATTATCAAGTTGCAGTTACAGAAGGCTTATGTGTTTAACAGTAGATTGACTTGGTTCATAATGAAGAAATGGTTGTCCTGGAAAATGTTGAACTTAGTAAGCAACGGTATCATGTATAGTTTTTAGAACTTGTAGATGCTCTCTCTGGTATAAGAAATACTATTAGTGATAATGCATGAAATTTGGGATGAGTACTGAAGATGAAAAGGAATTAAGCAAGTATGACATGCAAGATAATGCATTATTATTTAATTATATTAAATCACAAACATTGTACAGTTGGAAGATACGGTTTTGTGTATAATATAATGCTTTATGTTATAGTCTGGATTCCTTGCCAATATTGTTAGACTGATGAACTTGTTAGTCAGATAGTGTTCTGTTCCAATAAATATTGTTTCTTTTTTCTTATGTCTTTATCAAAATGAACACATCAAATCTAATTACTTGTCGAAAAAAAAGAAAAGAATCTATACACTAAAGACACTGGTGATTCTCTAAACGTCTGTAATTCATTGGATCAAGAGTGACCTTGTCCATGTTACATATCAACAAGATAGAAGAAAATTAATGAATTTGTGTTTTTGTTAAGAAACTATTATATTGCATGGCTAATATATGTTTTAAAATTTGGGAGCAATAGTACATTTTGCTTTGTTTTGGAAGGTGGGGTTACTCCTCAAATCTGTGAAAGCTAACATAGCCTCAATAGCATTACTGACATTCACAATCAATGTATGTTGTTCTAAAGGAACCCATCCTTCATAATGCCGAATGTAGAGACCTGTTATCTCATCATGTAGCAGTGTGGTTATAAAGCTAGCATTTGAATGTGGGTAGGTACCAAAAACTAAATTAGGCTGGGAACAAGTTGTTAAGCTGGTTTAGTAGTTCTTATATGTTCAACAGCACTTGGTCTAGTTGCCTTGAAAAGGTCTCAGAGTGTCTATTGAGAATTAGGTGAACTTGCATTTATTTATTATTTTTATTTTTTGTTTTTAGAAAATTCTCTGCTTCTTTTCATGAATTTATGATAGTTGCTCCTTGTTGCTGCCTGCCTTGTGGTTGATACAACTAGCACCTTATTTCTCATAAATTTCTGTCTGAATGACACTGTTTTCTAAATCCTAATAAACGAGTCATCTACATGAAGGCACAGGTGGTGAATGGTGATGAAAAAAAAAAACTGATACCCAAACGTGAAAGCGCATTCTCGAGAAATGAGGGCTGCAAATGGCATCCGTTTGTCCAAATTCAAATTGGAATCCACTTTGATTAAGGCGAACCTAATTTGATCCCGTTCATAATTGGATCAATATATAGATCTATCACAAGTTCACAACCCAATCCAATGGAGCCGATCTGATAGGATTTAAATATATGTGCTTGTTATAGTTGGTTTATTTACTAAAGAGTCATAGGTTCTAGTCAGGAAGAAGTTACCGTGAAGTAATTTTGTTCATGCTATACATAGTAAAGTCCTTTTCAGTTCATTTCTTATTAATAATACAAATATTGGGAAGTATTTATTTGAATCCAAATATTGACATATCAAATTTTGATAGGCGGTTTTCTGAATTAGGAGTTAAAAATGTTTGGTCTGTTTTTACTTGGTTTGCTGGCAATGAAAGAGCCATGTTGTTCAGGGCCACCTGGCATCGACCCCGGTTGTTGAGGGAGAGGTTTTCCTCAGATGGAAAATGCCCGTTTCTGGGTCGGGTAATTTGTTCATTTACCTTTATGAGTTGCGACTTGTGCTTGGTTCGGTCGGAGGACAAAGGCGCACGGTCCTCCTCGTCCTTGGGCAGGAGGATCTCATTGATCAAGAGAAGCTGAATTACTTGTTTGTTTTTGCTTTCTTATGTAGCTAGTGTTATGCTTTGTTACAAATAAAAGGACTAAGGCGCAACAGGTGGGGACTGGGGATTCATTGCCTGTTGCTGTTGTTAAGTGGGGTAACCTTTAACCTGTAAAGTGTTTGGAGAATTGGGGCCCCTTTGGCCTTGCCCGTCACTGATAGTAATACTTTACACAACTGGTCTGATTTGATCAAATTTGCGCAACTTTTGGGGGACAAGGACCATGTTATCCGCAGTAATGAATTAACCTGAGAGTGAGTCTGCAATTCTGGTGTGAGAATGAATATGTACGTCGTCTGCAATTCTGGTGACTGGTATGGTGGCCGTTGCGAACGTGATTACTAATTTCTAGTCTAGTTTATAAATTCTGCAAAGATAGACCGTTGCGTAAAAGAGAGCTCAAGCCACAGCCACTACTACTCGATTCTCAAGCCTTAACTTTTAAAAGCGTACTTGGGGGCAAAGGAATCCACTAACAAATGAAAGAATTGGATACAAGGCTCAGAACAGAGTGTCGGGATTGGTAATACATCAATTAAGACCCAAACCGATTATACGTGTATGCATATATAAGTATTCCAATAATCAATATTATCATGTTATGATGTCCACGAATGCATTTCATCAGGCATTATTGAATGATACCTACTTGTTGCGTCGACCCTATTCTGTAGGGACTAGTTTGGAACATTGCAATGTGAATTTATTTGCACTCATGGCAGTGCAAATTATGATTTATTTTTATTTCAAAATTTACTTTTTTTTTGTTTGATTGCAATAAAAATGAAGTAAAATAAGACCTGAAACAGAATAAAGTAAATGGAGAAGTACCGATTTGCCTATTGCAGATTTCTGATTTATGCTGCAGAACTATAAACATTTAAAAGGACTACAACCCACATTCTATGCACCAACGCTCGCCCGTGAATTGGCATCAATTCCAAGCTGGCACTTACCATGACAGTGCAAATTATGATTTATTTTTATTTCAAAATTTACTCTTTTTTTTTGTTTGATTGCAGTAAAAGTGAAGTAAAATAAGACTTGAAACAGAATAAAGTAAACGGAGAAATACGGATTTGCCCAATGCAGATTTCTGATTTACGCTGCATAGCTATAAACATTCAAAAGGACCACAACCCACACTCTATACACCAACATCCACCCGTGAATTGGCATCAATTCTGAGCTCGCACCTACCCCGATAGTACTTTGAGCCTACAAATTCTGACCCTGGGCTGATTGGTCATTCTCCCTAAAGTAAAACCCAAAATAAAATTAAGTCAAATTTTGCATTCTTTTCATTTGCACTCTCATGCATTTGTACTAGTAAATAAAATTGCATTGCAACCAAACACAACCTAAAGGGAGTAAAGGGTTGGGATGGGATCTACCTGGACCTGAAATAAACCTGACCCATTGACAGCTCTAACTGCTCAGTTTGGAAAGAGTACAAATGCAAATATGTACAATATAAATGCATATAAAATACAAGACCTTTCATTCTACATATTTATATTTGTACTCTTTCCAAATTGAGCCAACAGGATTCTTCCATGTGACAAATGGGTGCATTCATGTAGGTCTACTTCAACAATAAAGGTTGTGTTTGTTTT